TACTGGCACATAAACAGAAACATAGATCAATGGAACAAGATAGAAAGCCCAGAGATAAACCTATGCACCTATGGTCAACTAATCTATGACGAAGGAGGCAAGGATATACAATGGAGAAAAGACAGTCTCTTCAATAAGTGGTGCTGGGAAAACTGGACAGCTACGTGTAAAAGAATAAAATTAGAACACTCCCTAACACCATACACAAAAATAAACTCAAAATGGATTTGAGACCTAAATGTAAGACCGGAAACTATAAAACTCTTAGAGGAAAACATAGGAAGAACACTCTTTGACATAAATCACAGCAAGATCTTTTTTGATCCACCTCCTAGAGTAATGGAAATAAAAACAAAAATAAACAAATGGGAGCTAATGGAACTTCAAAGCTTTTGCACAGCAAAGGAAACCATAAACAAGACGAAAAGACAACCCTCAGAATGGGAGAAAATATTTGCAAATGAATCAAAGGACAAAGGATTTATCTCCAATATATATAAACAGCTCATACAGCTCAATATTAAAAAAACAAACAACCCAATACAAAAATGGGCAGAAAACTTAAATAGACATTTCTCCAAAGAAGACATACAGGTGGCCAATAAGCACATGAAAAGCTACTCAACATCACTAATTATTAGAGAAATGCAAATCAAAACTACAATGAGGTATCACCTCACACCAGTTAGAATGGGCATCATAGAAAATGTACAAGCAATAAATGCTGGAGAGGGTGTGGAGAAAAGGGAACCTTCTTGCACAGTTGGTGGGAATGCAAATTGATACAGCCACTATGGAGAACAGTATGGAGGTCCCTTAAAAAACTAAAAATAGAATTCCGTATGATCCAGCAATCCCACTACTGGGCCTATACCCAGAGAAAACTGTAATTCAAAAGGACACATGCACCCCAATGTTCCTTGCAGCACTATTTACAATAGCCAGGTCATGGAAGCAACCTAAATGCCCATCAACAGATGAATGGATAAAGAAGATGTGGTACATATATACAATGGAATATTACTCAGCCATAAAAGGGACGAAATTGGGTCATTTGTTGAGACGTGGATGGATCTAGAGACTGTCATACAGAGTGAAGGAAGTCAGAAAGAGAAAAACAAATATCATATATTAATGCATATATGTGGAACCTAGAAAAATGGTACAGATGAACCGGTTTGCAGGGCAGAAATTGAGACACAGATGTAGAGAACAAACGTATGGACACCAAGGGGGGAAGTGGCAGGGGGTGTGGGTGGGGATGGGATGAATTGGGCGATTGGGATTGACATGTATATACTGATGTGTATAAAATTGATGACTAATAAGAACCTGCTGTATAAAAATATAAATTAAAAAATAAAAATAAATTAAAAAAATAAAAAATAAAAATTACATTGCTTCAAAGCACCACACTGCTCATAAGCACTCATCTGAATCTTTTATTTATGTAAGTATGTTGAAGATTATCCCAAGAGGATAAAATATTCAGGTTTTTTTGTGTTTTTCTTTCACCTTGATCAATATTTACCTTGGAAATGTTGGACAACTTGGGGCCATCCAGTTAATTATTTTTTTTCATGTTTCACTAAATCCTGTTCTATAAATGTTTCTTTCCTTTTCTTTCTCCCATGTAAATAACCCTTCTACTGTCAAGTTATTTCCCAACAGATCTATATTCAGAATTTCATAGTATGTAGGTTTTAAATAATATCCTGATTTTTAACTCTTTGATTATAAGGCCTAAAACCAATCATGGACTAGCAACATTTTCTTCCTCAAAAAAAGCATTGATCAATGTTCCAATGTAAAGTTCTAATTACCTATTTCAATCTTTGAAAAAGATGATATTTGATTCCAGAATATTCAGAATATGAGAGAAAATGATTAAAGCTATATCAGGGCCTATGTGTATGAATTATACCAAATTCTTCTAATATTTTGTCACCACAGATGTGTTTGGACATTTTCAAAAGAATTTAGGAGATTGAGGTGATAGCCAGGTATAAAAGAGTAAGATTCTGGAATAGAAAAAACTGTTGGAGAAGCTTCTTTCTAAAGCATTCTTTGATGTTTTCCCAAAGTAAACTGCATAAGTTTAGTAGGAAATATATATATACATACTAAAATTGTCATTAGGTTATTTTAACTTGGTTAATTGTAAATGGCATATTTTTGATGCACATGAGTATTTAAGAATACTGCCACTTGGTTGCCTTTGTTTAGAATAAAAAGAGCGACAGAAATAGAAGTGTGTTTTGCTACAAGGATAGACCAGATATTTAAATAGTCACATGGGCTTTCTGCTGTACCGAGGAAGTCCACTTTGTGTGATGGACTCTAATTAGTGCAGCTACCTCATTGAGGCACCCAAAGCCAAGTACATGATTGAGAGCAAATACAGACACTGCTAATCATACACATTTAGAATTTGTTTTAGTGTCCTTTAAATGATACAATTATAACACTATACCTTTCCATCCCCAAAACCTGCAGTGAGGAACTTTTGTCAAAAGGATTTCTAAATTGACTGTAAAAGTCAAGTTTGGCTTAACCAATTTTTCATCAATATATGTATAGTTTTAAAAATAATTTCTAATATGTATTCATTAGGGCAACTATAATCTCTTACAGGACTGAATTGTATGCTTGACTTTCTTACCTAAATTTTTAGTTCAAGTTCACCTTTCATTCTGGTAGAATTTATCTAACTGCTCAGCCACCCCTGACAGTTGAAAGGAATTGTGTGCTGGAGCTAACTCCTTAAGAATTATAAGTTCAAATGAAAGAAGGCTTCCAATCAGCAAAGACAGAGCTTGGAGAACACAAACCAAGTAGAGAAGGCAGGATTCTTTCCCTTATGGATTTATACCAGTTCTTTGCATTAGCACTAGATATTCCTTGGTGAGTTGTTTGGTTGGTTGGTTTCTAAGCTGATCTACAGCTTAGAAATATATTAAGTACATTCAATATTGAATAGCTTGACAAATGACAGCCAGCATGGGTTTTCCCTTTTCTTGAGTCTTCTCCACAGTAAAAGCAAATGTGAACTGTGTTCCTAACAAAGGGAGGTAGGAAATGAGGGAGAAAAAAGCCCCTAAAAAATGGTGATCAAAAAAATAGAGGCAAGATCTCGTGTGGTCTCATTCATTTGCTATCTCTTCCTCCCAGTTCTCTGACCTATTTTGCTAGTAATGATTGGTTTTTTACACCTGGAGATCACAAAACCCTGGTGTGAGGTCCAGCCTGCGGAGTTATGTGTGAGTATCCGAGCTGCTCATTCATCAGGAGCTGAAGTTTTCCCTAGCTTAGTCAACTCTTGTCTCACCAATGAGGTGGCAGTTTTCAAGGGCCAGTAATAAGAGATGTATATTTTCACTATGCTTCACATAGATAAAGACAGAAGTCAGACACATACTATATTAAAATATCAGAAGAGTGCTGAGGTGCCAGTAACCAGAAAGTTCCTTTTTAACTTGGAAGCTAGTGTATGTTTCATACCAAAAAATTCCTCCAGTTCCTTGAAGTACCTTCAGTGAATTACCAGTGTATTAGCCTTGCTACCTCTTGGTAAGCATCCATCTGTCACAACAAATCCATACACTTCTTTACAGCCCTACAATCTGCATTTGGAAGAAGAGAGTCAGCTCTTCCAGAAGGATGGAAGAAACCTTTTACTAAAACCTGAGGAGGTTTTAGTAATAACAGTAACCTGATATTTTGAAACTCTAAGGTCCTGATTTTCAGCCTTCCACCTAACAGTAAAATTAAAGCTAGCCCCCAGTAATAAACTGATATTTCTTTAATCATATTATATAGATTGTGAGTGATTCAAAATCAGAAACCAGGTCTTGTTAATAGTGTGTCCACACACTAACATCACTGTTTAACACATAGTAGGTCTGTAATAATTATTGTTGAATTGAACTGAGTTTGCTCACACTCAGCACCAAAAATGATTTTTCAACTTGGATAATTTAGTGTACCTTTGCATTCTGTGGTTGCACTTCATTTAGCCAGCAGAATTTTATTTAGGAGACAGAGAATAAATTATACTGAAACTTTCTTTCAAGTGGAATTGAATTTACTTCACAAAATCATCATTTTTTAATCTGAGCATTCTACAAAGGGTGACCCTAATGAGAAGGAAAAAACACCACAGCATCCTTGAATATAGATCAAAAACTCAAGTCATCCATTGAAACAGGACCCTGTAGAGATTGGTGCTGTGATTGGAGATTACTATAATATTACCTTTCTTAGAAAGTAGGAAATCTAATTACCTTCGTTTCTCACATTTGAGCCATACTACAAATGAGTTGTGTCCAGGTACAGAAAAAACAACAATATTTTATTTATAATCTTATTTTTAGCTTTTGATCTACAAATTCGGGTTCTAGATTTGTTTAAAAGATCATGGGTTTTATAGATGCTCATATGTAAATTAATCTATTGTTTGCTTACTTTTTGTTTTCCATTGTATGGCCCTCCTCATAAATACAGAACAGGTCATTACATGAAAAATATAAGATCTTGCATTTTTTCCTTGTTCTCTCTTAAAAATCTATTTCTAATATTGCATTCCCCATTGGACTACTTCATAAGGGCATGAGAGGGGGAAAAGAAAAGACAGAGGAAAAAAAAGAAAGACAAAAGAGACTGGATCTCACCACTAGAATTCACCATAAAAATCTCAAAGTGTAACAGAATTCTTACAAAATTTCCTAGACCAGTTCTTTAGGGAATTGAGATCTCCTATGAAAAATATGGCGATTGGGAAAGGCAGGGACAAGATGTGGGAAAATAGTAAATAAGTGCAGCAAAAACAGGTTCTGAGGAATACACATAATTTTGTCTGCTTTAGATCACAATAGAATTTTTAATAAATAAATTTCTTTTCTTTTTTGTTTTTTTTTTGTAAAGACACTTTTTTGAAACAGTAGATTTAGCCCAGTCATTTGTGTCATTTTTAATAAACTGTCTTTTTTTTTTTGATTGTTTGTTTTTCATAACTGTAATGTTTTAGATTTGAGTCTCTTGGACATTGTCTTTAGAGTTCATTCGGATCAATAACGGTTCATGCACTGAACTGTGTATTGAATTTATTGTGTTAACTGTTGTTGTGTGGTTGAAGGGAGATTTGTAAGAGTTGTAGTGGTTTAGGTGCTCATGCTCAATAGCAGGCATGGGCAGGTGGCTTTCCATGGGTGTGTCTCCTGTAATCTCATCATCCACATTAATGATTTCAACAGTCCTCGTTGGGGCATGATGGTTTTGCCGATGGTGCTGCTTCCTCATCTTGTAGAAAATGACCAGCATCACTGCAGCCATGAGTGTGATGGCCACAAAACAGCCAATGATGATTTTGGTAGTCTTCATGACTTCATCGATTCCTGGGATCCCACTGTTTATATCAGTCACGGGGATGGTGAAAGTTTTTTCTGTTGACCTTGTGCTCTGTGGCGTGAGAGAGGTGGTCACGTTGGTGGTCTCCCAGTCGATCACCGGAGTGGGACCCACATTGTTATCTGTGGTCCTTGCCTCATCCTGAGAAGGTTCCATAGTCTCTACTGTGACGGTTGAAAAGTACGAGAAGGGAGTAGTGTTTGCTGCAGTAACATTCAGGGTGGCCGAAGCAGTGGTATTTCCAACAGAATTACTCACCATACATGTGTACATGCCTGTATCTTGCACAGTTACATTCGTGAAGTTTAACGTCCCATCGCTGAGCACGGCTATCCGCACTTTGTACGCCCCATGTGTCATGACTGTTCCGTTTGGAGTAATCCAAGATACAGAAGTCAGGGACGTGGAGGCCCGACATTTCAGCTCAGCTGCCATGCCTTCAGTGACATTGAGGTCTGCTGGGGGCTCCACAATGACAGGAGCATAGCATGTGAAATAATTCTGGTCAAGCTCCCCAATGTACCTCCCTTTCAGATTGGGAGGCGTGTTACACCGGGCACAGCAAGCTGTGTTGGAGGGGGCCATGTCTTTTATCCACCAGCTGAGCCACAGTATGTCACAGTTACAGTTCCAGGGGTTGTGATGTAAGTGTATCCGTTCTAGATGATGCAAGGGTGTGAAGAGGTCATGAGGCAGTAATGTTAGATTGTTGTGTGCCAGGTTGATCTCCACCAGTGACTGAAGGTTATCAAAGGCATTCCGTTCAATCACTTGAATCTGGGACTGTATCATCCACAGTTTTTGAAGGTGCATCAACCCCTGGAAAGAGCCAGGCCTGATGGCAGACAGATGATTCCCAGAAAGATCCAGCTCATCTAGTTTTATGAGCGGCGTGAGGTTAGGGATTTCTCGGAGGTTGCACATGGCAAGGTTCAAATACCTCAAGTTGGACAGACCTTCAAAGGCACCTTCTGAGATATACGAAAGCCTTTTTAATTCCCCTAAGTCTAGTCGGCGCAAAGAAGGGATTCTGTTAAAAGCATAAGAAGGGATGCTTTCGATGGGGTTGTTTCGCAACCAGAGCTCCTTCAGTTTAGACAAATATACAAAAGCTCCATTTGGGATGGTCGTAAGACGATTGTCAAAGAGTTCCAGGGTGTTGAGGTTTGCCAGACCATTGAAGGCCCCAATTTCAATTGTTCTGATATGATTCCTACTCAACTGTAGGATTTCCAGGTGCCTCAAGTGTTTGAAGCTATTCACTTTGATGATCTGGATTTGGTTCTCATGGAGGTTCAGCAGCCGGGTGTTGGTGGAGATGCCATCTGGAACCTCACGTAGGTTTTTCCGAACGCAAATCACCTTGCTGAACTGGTTGCTGCAGGAGCAGACGGAAGGGCAGGTTTGAGCCCGCACCAGACCAGCCACCACAAGAAGTTGAAGAGCCAGCAGCACCACAAGCAGGGGGTCAAATAAGGCCCTGTTAAACCTAGGACCTATCATTATCTGCTGTGGATGTAAGGTCATCTTGTTCAACATTCATAATTTATCTGGTGTTGGTCCTTCTGGAGTTCTAATAATCTGCAATACAATGAGAGCAAAAAAGAGTATTAGATCTCCTCCAGATGTCTTTCTGGAGTCACTGTATGTAGTGTCATTTATTAAGTGATCTGGCTCATATTTATAGAGAAGTGTTTTTGTACTTTGAGTCAGCAGCCATCCACAGCCAATATTCCATCAGATGTGCAATCACAGAGCAATGGAAGAATGAGGTAGAGGGCCTTACTGTAGTGTTTACCAACCAAGTCTGAGCTGAATGCATGAGGACATATGAAATGTACCCCACAATTAGGCTCAATGTCCATACCAGATTGGAAAAGTTCAGAAAATAAAATTGGGGTAGGGGCTATACCAATAAACTAAAAATTCCCTCGCAAAATTATTAATACCTGGCATTTTATTGAGGATTAGTCTATGTGCCAGGCACCACAGGCTATGGAGTTCACAAACAATCCTATCCAAGAATGGCTACATAACTTGCAGGGCTCAAGGCAAAATGAAAACGTGGGATGTCTTGTTAAAAATTAGTAAGAATTTCAAATCAGTTACAGTAGGGCATGAAGCCAAGCATGGGCCCTTCTGAGTATGGGGCCCTTTGTAATTACACAGGCTGCATGCCCTGATCCTTTCTTATCCTTGCAGCATTCCTCTGAGGAAGGAACTCCATTTTCAAGATGAAGAAATTTAATAGTAGAGGAAGTAACATGCATGCAGTCACATGGTTAGTAAGTACAGAACCAGGGCTTAGACGGTCAGCTCCTCAGTCCAGGAGAATATGATCTCAAGAACTCCATGAAAAAGTTTCTGCAAGAATGATGGCAAAAGCAAAATATTTTTCACAATTTATTTTGTTAAAATACCTTTCCTTTGGGGGTGACCTGAGCTGTAAACACTGGCAACTTATCATATAGTTTCTGTGAAAATACACTGAAATAATGACATGCACAAATATACATAAATTTCTAGAGATGTTCATATACAAAAACTCATGACAACAGAGCCAACTGCTACCCATAGGTAGATATACCACAAATTAAATCACACCCCATGAGACATAATGTTTACGCACAGAAAAAAATCTTAGTATAACTGTATTATATATGTATTATGTCCCTACTCTTACTGATTTTAAGTAGATTTCTGGGAAGGAAATAAAACAACTCACTTCCTGCAACTCTTCTGGCACAAAGAGGAATTCCAAAGCTTGTGTTACCCAGTATAAACCCTACTCAACTGGCTTATCATGGATTGGGCACCTGTGTAATGACTTCTCCCAAATTTCTCATCTCAATAAACAGTGCCTCTTCTGTGAATCTCCTGGGAAGAAAAAAAAGTGTGGAGGCTCACCATATCCAATTCAAAAAGGCACTAAGACAACAATTTAGTATTTATTATGTGTCACCTTGGGCAGGTTACTTATCCTCTCCATGGCTCAATCTTACTTGCAAAATGGGAATGACATAATTACATAACCCTTAGTGTTACTGTCAGAATAAAATTAGTTAATGTTCATAAGGGCTTAGAATAATGCCTTCCATATGGGAAGAACTCAATAATATTAGATATTATTATTATTACTACTACTGTATTGTTGTTTCCCTTAGCCAGACATTTTGCTAAGTATTGAGCATACAAAGGTGAAGAATATAATCCTCATCCTTGAGGGAATTATAATTCAGAAGGTAAGACAGATAGGCAAACAGATGAAACAAAATAATGTATGTTCATTGCTCTGAGGCCAAGCCACATTGGTAGGAGGGAGCTGAAGTCAGAGTAACTCAATCTGTGCTGGTAAATCAGGAGATTGTCAAAGAGGAGGGTCACCTGATCTAGATTTCGTAAAAGAAATTGATAAAGAAAAGAAAGAAGAGCAGAGGGACCAGACTGAGCTAAGACAAGGAAACACAAAGGATGCTAGTACAACCAAAGCACCATAAAAATTCCTCTGTGGTGGGAGAACGGAAAGCCTGGGGAAGAGAATGGGAAAGAAGCTGGGATGAGATCGGGTCCAGACTGAAGAGTTGGTTACACCAAACTTAAGAGTCCCCGTTTTATCCTACAGGCGACATATTCTGTTTATACAAAGAAATGCTATCATCAGCTTTGTTTTTAAGAATGATAATGTTAGATTAACAGGGAGACAGAAAAGTTTTGGAAGAAACCAGCAGCAAGGAGAAAAATTAGGAAGATCCTCCAGCTGCTCCAAGTGAGCCTTAGAGAAAAGTCAATTCCAGAGACAAGTGGAGTTCTTTGGTCATCTCTTGCATACCTACCATTCAAGGTCTTGAGGAGAGAAGGGCCGTCTGTCTCCTCTTTAGGAGTATAACCCTTCTACCAGTGGTGAGATTCTCAACGTTAATTAGCATTTGTAAATAACTACATCTTCATAGAGTACACAAGACAGAGAAGAGGCTCTTTTCCTATAAAAAGAGATTCTTCACTCAGTAAATGTATCTGCCATTAGCAGCCCTTCAATATACACCCACATTCACAGAACTGCAGAAAAGGACCTGAATCTCAAGAAGGTGACGTTTAAAGTCATAGATGCTTTCTGGCTTCAGAGGCTTGTTTTGGTCTCCTTCCCTATGGCAGCAAAGAAATTTGACCACTGGGTGCTGAGTTGTTACTCTTTCTTCCAGCCTTCTGTGGCAAACTGACTTGCTGCCTTTCTCCGGGCTCCTGCAGCTCTAGGTTGACTTTTCACACCATTCAGTACTATGATCATTTGTCCCTGGGTCTGTTTCCTGCACTACCTTTTTTTTTTTTTTTTTTTTTTTTTTTTTTTTTTTTTTTTTTTTTTTGCGGTACGCGGGCCTCTCACTGTTGCGGAGCACAGGCTCCGGACGCGCAGGCCCAGCGGCCACGGCCCACGGGCCCAGCCGCTCCGCGGCACGCGGGATCCTCCCGGACCGGGGCACGAACCCGCGCCCCCTGAATCGGCAGGCAGACTCCCAACCACTGCGCCACCAGGGAAGCCCCCTGCACTACCTTTTGAGCTCCCTGAGGACAGTGGCCATGTCTCATGGTCTCTTCTTAGCCTCCTGACAGCACAGTACCTGGCATAGTGGTGTGTACCAATGTATTTAATCATGCCTTTTATTTTCTGTATTTTCTGATGTTTTGATACGGGGCTTTGCTTATCCTGGAGAGACTGCCCCTCCAAGGGCTAGCTAATTCCTAGAGATAGTAAAGGACGGGCTCACAGGCATGCCTTTCATATTCAAGGCAACCATTATGAAGCCAGTACCCCAACCATTTCCTTTATCAGTTTTTACAGGGCTCTTTACACTTGAGCCACTATCCCTCTGCCCTCATCATCCCAGGGCTAGATACCAGGCAACTGGGATAGCTCCTGTGTTCCAGAACCCACTGAAATTATTCATACCACAACAATGTGGCTGGCAGGCTTCTCACCCTGAGTTACATTAGGAGTTTTCCTTCATTGTAAGTTTAAACACAACCTTAAAAACCCTTGTAGATTTCTATTTTAAGTAGAATCTTATTTAAATTGCCAGTGATCATGACCACAGAAAATCTGTCATTCATGTGATTCAGTATTTTCATTGCATATGTTCCCCTTTCCCCAAAACACACTTCTGAAGGTAAGTGGGAATTTTTAAAAAGAAAGAAAGAAAGAAAAAAGAACAGCACATAAAATCTCTAATATATTAATTGATAGACGCTTTTAGGATTGGGGTCATAGGGCCCTACTCCTCCATCCCTCCTCCCACCTCCCACCCCATGACTCTCTCTAGAATCCTAGGGTCTCTGGCAACAGAGGTCAAAATAACTGGTTGACTGGAAATCGCACAAAAGTGAAAAAGATACGTCCTTATTCTGCCATTTGCTACCTTTAACCCTTTAAAATATGAAATAACAAAGGCAGCCATGTCCGGTGGTCAGAGAAAAGGCTCATGAAGACTTTGAATTTATATGCCTGCTTTAACCCCCATGACCCTACAATTGGGAAAGTTACTTCACCTGTCTATAGCTTACTTTCCGCATTTGTAAAAGGGAAACAAGAGTTACTTACTCAAAAGGCTTTTGTTAGCACTGTCACATAAAACAGATAAAGTTACTGGCTCATAATAAGTAATAAATATTTACTACATTTTAAAATAAAAAGTGATGGGAGCTTCTTCCTCTCATATAAGATAGGAATAACACTAATACTTATTATTCAAAGTTGTGGTAAGGATGAACTGGAATGACCAGAAACATACTATCAGTAAATTATCAGAAACATACTATCAGTAAAACATACCGAAATATGATACATTGCTCTTAATTGTAGAGTATGTGTGTCTCCCCGTTTTCAATCCCCGGGTTGTTTTATTTTCTATTTCTTGCTTACTTCAAGGTCTTTTTGCTATTGCAATTAATGAGATTGCCTGTAAATCAGTCATAAGTAACAATTTATGAATTACAGTTGGTTCAAAGCTATTTATAACCTGCCGCAAATAAAGCTTGGTACATGCGCTGAATCGAGTAAACTACTATCAACAAAAGGTTTTCTATTTTAAAATCTGAATTATGTTACTTTCCATCGAAAGCCAGGTTTCAATATCTCTTTCAGAAGATGTTTTTATCACATCAAAAGGAAATCAATTTAAAAGTACACACTTCCATTACGATGTCATCTCATAGCATTTATTTACAAATGGATCTGGGTGGGTTTTGAATTAAACTATAATACTTTTAGCCTTGTCCCAGAGGATATCCTGACTTTTTGTCAACAGACCTTTCTTCTTTCCTTACCTACGCTTCAGGACACAGAAGGAACTGAAGGAGGGAGAGTAGCTAATGGGGATGCTTTATTTAGCACAGTACCATTGCTAAGTCAGCATAGACTGTTGTCTAGACAATGGAACTAGTTTGCAAGCGAGGTGGGAGAAAGATACATTTAGTTAACCACAATCAGCCCTCCCATCTCAACAGACCACATATTCACAATCACATGTATCTGCAACAAACCTCCCTAAACATTGAGAAGCAAAACCCCACATTTAGAAAGG